CTGGTGCATGAAAAGCCAGTGGTTTTGAGTGATTGCTGCATATCTTCCCAATATGAAAAGGAGAGGCCAAAAGCCAAGAGTTTATGTCCTTCGGGAAGTACTGCAAGGGTCCTGTGCTATGAAAGCAAGAGTGTTACTGTTGATTTCAACAAGTCCAAGATGAAGCTCAGGTTGTCTTATGCACATTATTGCTACTATAAGATAAAGAAATATATTAAAAAAATGGTTAAGAAAGGCTGATAGCCCATTCATTCATTTATCTTTATATAACAAATGATGGAACTGGAGTTGCAAACATAGATTTGGTAGCATTTATTCATATGGGACCTGCATTGGGACCATTTACTCATGTTCCTTTGTGAAGCTTTCTGCATGAAGTGGGACTGCAGGATTGAAATCCTTATTTCTGAGGACTTTTAAAAGTTTGTTTTATACACATGAACTACTAAACACCCAGAATGCTGCTTCTACACAGACTTTTTAAAAAGTATCAAATTAAAAGTCTCCATGACTGATGCTGTTGATGGAATTGAGACAGATTCAAGATGTAGGACTTTAAGAAATCTCAGAGAAATAGCTAGGTATGTTTCTTTTGCTGAGTTATCTTTTTTCAATAAAAAGGTGTTACAGTTGATTTTGTGCTAGCAATTGGTACATTATGCCTAGTTCCTCTAATATGTGAAAGTCCAGCTTCACATGTTTTCATTTTTCAGTTTTTATTATTTTGTTTTAGCATTTTGTACTTTTTTTCCATTTTTTTCCTGATACAACGTGCAAAAGATTTAATTTTACATCTGTCTCTGTCTTTTGGAAAATACACTGTGGATCAAGGGAAATGGTAGGCATAAGAACCAGAGAATAGCTAAGGATAGATATTAAAGGCATGAGCAGTATTATGTTATAACATTTTCAGAGGACTCGGACTAAAAGCAATGCCTTCCAAAATAATCACCACAGTTTTCTATACCTAAATATTTGCACATATTAATAATATACCATATGCTTGGCTTAGCAGTATGGGTGTAACACATCAGTCTACCAGATGCAATATTCTCTCTGGACCAGAATATTTCCTTGGAATATCCTGCTCTTTTTGACACCTCAGTTTTAACTTTTTCTATAACTTGATCTGAAAATGATGACCAACTTGAAATCTATATGACTTGAAGGCTTTATCAGTAAAGCCCAGCAGAGTTATATTTCTCTGTGGCTGTGATGTTGAAACCTTGTGAAAAATCAATTTTTCCTTTTGCTGAATGGTATATTTGAAACATTTAAAAAAGGTGAATGAGTGTGCTGAGGGCCTGTCACTCTCGAAGTACTTTCTTATGCAGCACGTGTAGGTACATCTGCCTATTAGCCCTGAGAGGC